TAATCAGACTCTAGTAATAATTATTTCGGAAGGGGTTCTTGTCAAGCGAAGTCGAAGCAGGTGTGAAAAGAAATGCGGGCAAACCTCACTGCTGATGAAAGATACCATTTAGCATATTATCAGACTTCTTAAGATGCTCTGTTTAATTATTACTTATGTTAATAAATATATATGTATGCATGAAATGTATGCCTATATATATATGTGTGTGTGTGTGTGTTTGAGAGGAAGTAGGGGAGAGGAAGGGGGTGTAGAGAGGGACGTTGCACACCCTAATGGCATGACCACGAGCCGACACTGTCGGAATTCGAATTTCCTGCAATTTGTTTGAGGCGCAATCATTCCGTGAATTGTGCTTGCTGGCATTTGACCCTTGAAAAGAAAGATTACGTTTAATATTATTTAAGTATTAAAATAATTTTAAATTGCATCATGTAATTGAGATAAATGTGAAAACGAATGCATCGTTTAACTTTGCATTGTAAGTTACGAGAATGAGTAATTCGTGTAAAACTAACAGTTTTCATGAACATAACAATATAAGCTGTTTTTCGTTTGAAACTTTTGAATTAAAGAAAATATGTACTTTTCGCGCTTCATTTGTTTCAGTGTTTTTCAAGTGGTAGTTTAAGTGTTAGTCAAAAATTGTCACATATTACATAGCAATTAACAATATCGCGAGAATGAAGGTGCTGTTGTGGCACCACTAGTTAACACACGAAAATACTTTTAAAGCGCCGGCGATGCTAAATTCAGCTAGCGTGCAGTAATTCCCTACACAGCAATCCAGTAAGCTGCGTCCGTCCGCAACTCAATTACACCGCTTCCGGTTCACCTATTGAAACAAATTCGACGTCCGTTAAGCTGGCAAAGCCATTTTCAAGAACAACATTTTCCCAATACTCAGAATTTTGAGCTATTTAATTGCTGATCAAATATCCAAAACGTTTATATTTGTTGTTCCAACGGTTTTTCCAAAAATTGGTGGCTTTACTGGCTTAACGTTAAGTTGGCAAAGCCAATAGACAAAAAAATATTTTCTTTATATACAAATTGCCCTATTTATTTGTTCTACAAATATATAAACATTAATTTTGTAGCTCTTACCGAGTTTCGAAAATTAAAAAATAAAAATTCCCATCCCGGACAGGCGCAATAGCAACGAGTAAGAAGAATAGGACTCGTACAAAAAAAAAAAATATCCAGCCAATCTACATTTTTTAACACAGAAAGTACCACAAATACACTGTACAACAATATTGTTTTGCATTTTCAACATTTAATATGCTCCCCAAATAATTACAATGCATTACACTACTGTCAAAAAACAACACTCTTGGCGACACAATTCCTCATAAAAACTGAAGTAATCAACGGTATGAATGAACGTTTACCAACAACCAGAACCGAACATCATTGTAATTAAACTACACCAACAATGATTTTGTTGCTCTCACTGTTTTGGAGAAAAATTGAACGAAACCAGTTGTGTGTGACCAGAAAGGAAGCATCCCCGTCGAATAACAAAAACCCTCTTTGAAGCAAAACTATGCTTCAAAATTAAAAGGTATTTACAGAAAATACATGACAACACGACACTACAATATTTTTTAAAATTTTTGAATTCCCATGTTACCTATAAAAAATATAATTCCTTTCACTGAATATAAAAAAAACAAATGGATAGAGGAACATAAATTCTAATAAATACTTAACTGCTCAATAATTCGCATTGTCCTTTCCCAACAAATACAACTTCTATTCTAATGAACTTCACCAACAATGATTTTGTTGCTCTCACCGTTTTTTGGAAAATTGAAAAATTCAGATTGACGATAAATATTATTTTGTAGTTAGGCACAAATTTAAACAAGTATTTTAATAGATGCTTTTTCATAACTGCATCCAGAAGTGGACGAGCAAGGCTACAGTAAAAAGGTTTAAAACTGAAGTTTGTCTATGAATTTGCAATGCACAAATTAAACTTTTAAACACGAAAACACCCACTGGAAGCGCCACGCTAAATTAGTGGGAAAGTAATAAAGAAGATCTAAAATGTGTTACAAGAATTGCACACTTAGCATTCTTAGCAAGAACTCTGAAAGCAATTTCTCTTGAACTCAATAAGGTAAGTAATAAGTAGATAATACATAGGTTAAATATTGTTGTTCAATTTCGTAATAATAACTTGTTTTAATTGCGTATATTTGTGTGGAGTCTGTGAAACAAGAAAATGGTATTTTAAAACGCTGTGCACGAAATACGGTTTCTGGTGTTCGTTTTCCATGTGGGGAACAGCTCTTTTTATCATTCTAATTAATAACGTACGAAACATCACGAAGCGTGCGCGAAACATAAAAAGTGCGAAAAATCTTTCGCATAGGGTGTTAAAAAAATTATACGCAACACGTTCGCCAGGTGATTTCGCTTACGTTTGGGAGAAACACTTCCCCCGCAGGCGACTCGCATGGTTAGCGTATTTGTTACTAAACTACTATTTCCGTCGGCCACGGGGCCCTTAAGAGGGCGTTTTACGAATGAAATTGCCCCGTTATGCGATTTTTTCTTCGCAGGTTCCTGTAGAGGATGTATTGCAATTCTTAACTACTTTTAAATGAGATGATCCTTGGCACCCACACAATCGTAGTTGGAATAAGATAATATTGAACTTTTAAAATGCAGGCATGTTTCAAATAAATTCTCATGCAATTCATAATTTTAATAAAATTATTTTATTCTTGACTCACATACAAAATCTCTGCTATAATTGTTATTGGAGCAAAGGTGCCTCGGGTATCAATTTTATGAGGTAGCAGCCAACATTTAATATTCACATATTTTTTAAATTAACGTGTAAGATATCATTGACGTTTATGATATAAACTCTCATCAATACACATAATGAAATAAATTTTTACCACTCTCAATGCCACAAAATGAAATGAATTTTTAGGACAAAAAAATTATTTCAATGTCTAATTTTAGGAATTTTTGCAAAGATTCCTTAAATTAACACAATAGAAAAAATAGAAAATCTACTGTTAACATCAGTCACTTAGCTCACAATGATATATAAAATTGATGAAACGGGCACAAAAATATTCAAAAATAAATCTTGAGATAAATAGCAAATACTAATGCAACTTACACAAATATAAAGAGCTATGCTAACAAATGAGAAAAATATATAATACTTTTTTCAGTGGTGCTCAAAAGGATGGAGCCACCTCCAGTGGAGACAAAACGAACCACCTTGATATAAATTCAATCTAACTCTATTACACCTACAGTTATTACTTATCAGAGAAGTGTCCAAACAAGGATTGGTAGTTTGCTGTCAAAATTATGTTCTGGTATATAGTAGTAAGGATGAACTGAATACCAAGATGTACTGAATGAGTTTAAAATAATAGAGCCGTTTGACATTGCACTTACTTGGAACAAATTTTCCAATCCTTTTAGATAGTACTTCTTGCTTTTGGTAGGGAAGCAATGCCTCAATGCCGAGCAGAGACACAATAAAATTCTGAGCACTTAGATCCACAAATCACCTTGGAACTTAAAGACTCTTGCCTGCGACGTGTTTGAAGAGACGGAACCTATTGAATGAAGGGTAAAATTGCCGAAATAATGCATGATAAAAATATCATGATAATCAAAGCTTCATGATTGGTTGAAAAAGACACACATTTTCAAGTGAAATATTGCAAACATTAGCTTGCACTAAAATACAGATGAAGAGGATAAAAACGTTCCAATCGAAATTTAGCAGTACTCTTCAAACGGAAATGTGACCAGGAAAATAACCTAAAAGACATCAAAATCATGAAGCACGGTGGTGGTAACATTATGATCTGCGGATTTTTCTCGTATGGTAGTGGTCCAATGTTTCAATAGCATTAAGAATCACGAAAAGTGTAAATGCATAATAGTTTTCGGCATTCTTAATATCATGCTACCATATGTGGAAGTGAAATACATCTGATATGGAAATTCATGGAAATACATCCGGTATGGAAATTATCCAAAAAAAATACAATTTCGGAATGACTGGCACAGAGTCCAGGATTTCAAACCGATAAACAATCTTCATGACACCACTGAAAAAGTGGTCCATAGATCGAAAGCAATTATCTTTATCACCTCTGGGAGGAGATAATAATAATAATAATAATAATAATAATAATAATAATAATAATAATAATAATAATAATATGAGCAATTGGTAGTTCTATATGCAGTAGACGCCTACCAGTTTTGAAAAGCAACTATAAACAAAAATAAATTAGTGCAAAAATAAATTAGTGGTTCATATGTTCAAAGTTCTTAATAGCACAGTCATATAACTGTAAACTGCAGTATTTTTGAGCCCAGGAGTGTAAAATTATGTATTCTACAATAAGAATATAGTTTGACAGTTAGGTAACTATTTCACCAATAGTTGGACTGGCTCTATATTTTTGGGCGCCACTGTATAACGAAGCTTTTTTTTAATGCAATACAAGTTGAAAATGCACCAACGTTTACTATCTAGCCATAGGGTACGGAGAAGAAAAAAGGGATTTAAATAGATACACAACTTGAATCAGAGTTCTCTGTACTTTTGATTATACATTGACAAATACCAGTCCAGCAAGGCAGTCTAGACAAGCGTATAAAGTGCGCAGTTATATACACGCGAAGGTGTAGTTTCGTGCTTCATCTGAATGTATGTTATACAGGCAAATGTGGTCACAAACTTTTGCCCATTCACAGAATCCGTACAAAGTGCTATCCACGAGCACAAAACCATGAAATGATGAGATGCTTCACAATAAAATTAACAGTTTCTGAGCATGTTTGGCTTTATAATATTTTTTTCTAGTTTACTGTGATTAATCAAATATCTACAACTAATTTTCATGCTTCTATCATGGCATTACAAGTTGTTAATTACATGCAATGACATAAAATTTACCTTTGCACCATGCTTTAAAACATGCATCTGTTGACACCTGTACCTGTAACGTTCTCCCACTTCACAAATCTGGTTCTGTCTGCTTTCTCGTGATCGGGATCATTCTTTTCAAGGCGCTGAACGGTAGTAGGTCTTTGACGAACACCCAAATCCATTTCTAAAAACAAGAAAGAGTATATTTACTTTGGCGGTTACAAGAAATCCTTAAAGCTAGTTTTAAAGCATAGAAAACACAAACTACAGAATTACACTCTTACAACTTCAATGTTCAATCTCGCTTCTGTTCGATCAAGTTCAAATATATTAAAATACTGTCTTAATTTCCACTACTTCATAATACATTTATTTCCTCATTCAGAAATCAAAATCGGTATATTATTGATCATTCCATTATAAAAGATATCAGAGATAGAGACAATTCTGAAAACATCATTTAATAGATTTATTTAGCAAAAAATCCAATAAAAACCGTATGTGACGTATGGGGGGAGCACATCACCTGCACACGTTTTCTTGAGTTCCAAAATCCTTTCCCATCATTTTAATTATAAATAGTTCAAAGACGAGTAAAAGCTTTAAAAAAAAAAATTAAAAAATCGGGAGATTAGCAATATTTGAAAAAATTGACATTTTTGTTTCCAAGTTATAGAAAACTAATTTGCATCGGTAAACGAATTGCAAGTATGATTTTTCAGCATTGCTAACAACCCATCCCCCTTACCTCTTCCCCAACCATTACAAGCAAAAGGAGAGAGAGTTCAACAAAATGTGCACATAGTGAAGCTACATTTACTTCCAGAAGCAAAACAATGGGGCCATCTCAGCATTTGCTCAATGGATCAGGAAAACTGAGCAAAAACCTGATCGAGATTGGGGGTCATTGACCCGGAAGCTGTAGTACATTATTTTTTTAAAACATTAAGTATTTTAAAAAATATATACAATAGAAATGTAAACTAATTCAATATATATACACCAGTGTTTTGTTAAAATAAAGTGTTCTTTTTGATAATCAGTATAGAAACAGTTATGCAACAGAAAATACTTTACTTTAAACTTAAATTTGTGAACCAACTTCAATTAATTAATGTCATCTGGCAATGCGTTGTAAAGTAACGTACACGTATGTGGATTTCTGATAGTGAGCTGTTGATACTAACACTTGATGAAAGTGATTTAACGACGTGTGTTTTAATTATAAATATCAGTATTGCATGAAAACATGTTCCCATCGTTAAGTAAGTCGCTTTTGACAATTATTACAAATTCATAAATATATAGGCAAGGCAATGGTAAGATTTCAAACTCGATGAAGAGAGGCTTGCAGGTATCACGCAGATGACATTTTTTCATTATTCGAATAATTTTCTTTTGCAATCTAAAGGTCTGGGTACTACATGATGAGTTTCTCCAGAATGTTATGCCATATCTCAGGCGGGAATGTACATTTGCAAAACACACGCAACGAGCTGCATGAAGACTGACAGAATTTGAAAGAATTCTGAATGCGTAACACTTAATTTAGTGTTTAATTTTGTTTTTATGAACATTACATTTGAGGTTTGAATAAAGAGACCTAGAATTTTGTTACCTGAACATCAGATAATTGCATATTGTTCATTTTCAATGGAGCATGCGTAGCTGATTTGAAATGCAAAAATGCATTGAAAATGTTTTTCCTTCGTTAACTATGAAATTGTTATTGCAAAACCAATTTGAAACTTTTAAATTCGTCTATTTATTGTTTTTATTTTGCAAAGAACATTTGTGTAATCGGCAAAAAGAACTGTTCTTCAGTTTTTAATAGACAAGGGCATATCGTGTATGTAGAACAGAAAGAGCATAAGTCCTAAGATCGACCCTTGCGGGACCCCATATTCAATTGGTAAATAATTGGAAGGATAAGTAAACAATGTCCTTTCGTGCCAGTACGGTATTTCTACTCTTTAAGATCGATGTCTAAGGTACAAGGTTATCCAATCTAGGGCGATACCACGAATTCCATAAGAAGGTAATGTTGATAGCATGATGTTATGGTCAATAACGTCAAAAGCATTCCAAAGATCTAAAAATATTCCAATGGATGCTTCATTTTGGTCCATTGATGAAGCAATATCTTTATGAAAACAATGGCAGTTTCCGTGGAATTTGATTTTCTAAACACGTGTTCAGAAAACACTTGGTTTTCTTGAGAAAAGTTTCCATTCACCTATAGAAAAGCCTCTAATATTTTAGAGAAACCTGACGAAAGGGAAATTGGTCAGTAATTTTGAATTTCATTTTTGCTCCCTTCTTAAGAAGTGGCTAAATTTTTGCTGTTTTGAAAATATATGGAAATTTTCTTGTGCATAAAGAAGCATTGAAAATGTGAGTTAACGGGTATAAAGGCAGCTACACAAGTTTTCAATAATCAATCCGGAAATTCATCTAAGCCAGATGAATATTTATTTTTTAGTTTACTGACTATTCGTAAGATTTCGTTAGAACTGGTTTCGAAAATAAACATCGTGTCGAAATTGTTTTGGGAAGGTAATGATATTGAATTTTGCGATTTTAGTCCCTTCGTGAGTTCAGCCGCAATTCTAGAAAAGTGTTGGTTAAAGAGATTTGCCACTTTTTTCGGATTACCGGCTTCTCTTTCATTATCCTTTAAAACAACATGCTCTACTAAGTAACTAGATGATGTGGTCGTATTTGTTTACGATATTCCACATGGTGCGGCGTCATATCAGTCGCTTAGTACAACCCGGACAAAATATTAGTCACGTGCATTTCATGGACATGAAATGCACGAGGAAGTAGTTTGCGACAGCGGGCAGCCCTGGAAGGAACGCCAGCAACGCCAGGAATGGCAAACCTAAGGAGCGGAAGGGAAGGGGTGCCGTGTCGTGAGTGGCCACTTGGGAACCCCTTTTCCACTTGGGGCAAACTTGTGAACCCCGTAGACATGCTGGCTGTCGAAACGCGTCGGAGGAAACAGCGAGATGACGCAATTCCGTCAGCCGGCCCAGGAAGCAATATAAGAGGACCCCGGACCTAAACTCCTGATTCTCGGTAGGAAGTCGTGTGGGTTGTGCGCAGCACGGCATTTCAATGCATAGGCTACTGAAACAGGGAACTGAAGCCGGCGTGCTACGTCGAGACGGGAGGTGCGGCGTACCTTGGCATTATTGTAAATAGTATTCAGGTGTTGGAGCATATTTCGAATAAACTAAATAAATTACAAACAGTTCACGTCTGTGAATTATTGCCCCGGCAAAGACGCCACAATGGCTTTAGTTTTGTTACTAGCGTTCAAAATATCCTGGTTATTTTTCATTATTATTATTCATTATTGAAATGCTTTCCTCACTAGGAAGGTGGTCCCGTCCCGTCCCGTCCTTCCTTGTTTTCATATTATTCTAGGTAATTCAAAATTGCCTTCAGAGCCGCGGGATGCCCATGTGATCTTCGACGATGCACTTCTGGGAAGAGAAATTTAGAAGGTCGTTTTTTAAAATGATCAAAGGAAGAATATAGTGGCAATACAAAGGGTCAAAGGCTTCTGAAATTCTGCTCTACGATAGAATGCATTGTCCACGGCAACAAATGTTACATCATGTTTGATTCATTAATTGGTAATTCTGAGTCATTGGTCCCATAAGTAGAGGGCGTGTTTTTATCGCAGTAGGTGAACTTCCCCAGAGCGAGATCCAATGGCAACCTACGTCGACTTCCTTAACCAGGTATCTCCCACCAGCGGGGCACTGCCCCACCGGAGACAAGCTCTAAGCTCCCGACAAGTGTTAGTGTAGCGCATGTGAGTGTACGTAACGGGTAAGTTTAGGACAGGGAAGAGGAAGGAAATCTTGTGTGCGGTCCGTGGTGCATTTGTTACGGCACTGCGCATTTGCCTAGTGCTGATCGGAGAAACCATGGAAAACAACTACCGATCGGAGCATCCGGCCGCTAGAATTCTCCTCCAGACAGCGGCTGAATTCGACATAGTGTGTCGCTAGCTGTGTCGAAAATCCTGTCACCGTCGAACTCAGAACCAGGCTCTCCCGACCAGATGTACGGCAGTGACATCAGTTGATGCCCTGAGCGAAATTATCTCCTTCGTAGATTTGTCGCACTGTAATGTATGCACAGGGCACAGCCTATGACCCTTCAGACGCAGAGCGCCCTATAACGGGGACGGAATTATGAAATGGTGGGTACCGCGCAGCTAATGCTAAACGCATCAATTTCGCCGCCGCTTCGTTGTAAGGTTTCCCTCTCGGTAGCGTCATGTGTATCGTAAATTATGGGGGAGACTTACTTCGTGATACAGTTAAAGTCCGAGCGTAATTTTGAATTATCAGGTACAAAATTTGCGGCCTTTTTTTTATTTTACCATTTAAGTAATAATTACCTTTCAATTAATGTATTTATTGTACTGAAACACCTTTCCGGTTGTAATTCCCTTCCTTAACAACATTATCTTGACCCCTCTTACTATATTACTGAAGTACTCTGCGTTGCCCGGGTATTTATTAATCATAATAATCTTTTAGACCGGAGAGGAATTCTTTAGACCTTCATTTACTCTGAACTAATTTTACTAATGAATTCAAAATGTCATAAAGAAATCTAATAGACTTTCGGAAACGTTTAATTCACTTTGAATTTTTATCACAATACTCGAGACATTTGCGAAAATGGAAAGAGTACACACAACAATTATGTTCTAAGGTGATGGTAGACTTTTTTACGAAATGTCACCAACTTACTAAAACAAAGTAATTTAAACGTTTGTTTTTACCCAAGAGGAGATATGTATAATATAAGTGCATTATAAAAAAGCGGTAAATAATGCTAAAAACATTTACATCAAAAAGGCACATTAAAACAATTAAAATGTTTCATTTTTCATAATTCGTGTTCATAAACAAATTCCCTCTACTGAGCGCCCACCCCACTAAAACATCACTTCAACTGAACAGTGGTCGCTTCATACAGGTTTCACTGTTTAACATTTGCGACCTATTTAGAACATTTTTTGTTCACACCTCAATGAACCCATTTGCATCGGTTAACTGTAAGCAATTTACGAACAAAGGCAATATTATGAAAGATGAAAAAACGGTTAAATATTACTTCAGTGAGCGATAAGTAATGTTTCTCGGTAAACATATT